TCTTTGTAAAAAAAAAAAAAAAAAAAACGCAAAATGACATTAGAGTGAATGTAATCAAGCTAATAACATCTAACAAAACGTTTATTGTTTTCTTCAATAATAATAATGGTTTAATAATCAATTAATCTGTAAATTAATACTAATATAATGTTCTATAATGTATAGACGTTTATTACAAGTAATACAAGTAAGATACAAGTAAATGTAATAATACATTTGCATATAGTTGGGGTAAGAAAGACTTTTATTATTATATATTATAATAATAAAATATAATATTTGTATTATATATTACTTTTATTAAGCAATTGATTAAATTGATCAAAACTATAGTGACCGTAAAGACATTTGTTACAAACAATTTCTGTCAAATAAATACTGTTCTTTTGTATTGTATTTTCTACTCATCAAATGATTGATTCAATTGAGATTACTGTGGAAAAGAGAACAAGGGCAAAATTAAAAATTATTATGTGTTACAAAGGTCATCCACTACATTGTACCTTTAGTGGACTTAGGAGCTCATTTAGTGGAAGATTGGTAATGCCTCTGTGTTCTACAGAGCGATTTAGAAGGTCTTTTATTCCGAATGCAGTTAGGTTGTTTAATGAATTTGTGTAATTTCTTGTAGCGATTGTTGTTGTTTTTTAATGTTTATTTGTTTGTGGTGTCTGTAATGTGCAATGGTGGCGAATGAGTTTCCCCTTACAGGGAGGGAATTATAAAGTTTTCTTACTTACTCACTTACTAAATAATCCTGAAATAATGTGTCACGGTCTCCACAAAAATAGTAAGCAGCACAACTGTTTGCTACAGCAGTAAATCAGAATATCAGAAGGATTTCTGAAGGGTCATGTAACACTGGAGACTGGAGTAATGATGCTGAAAATTCAGCTTTGCCCTCACAGGAATAAATTTCATTTTAAAATGTTTTAAAATAAAAACAGTTATTTTAAATTGAATAATATCTCACAATATTATCAGCGCTCCATCACAGGCAAATACTGGCCCGCTTTTGAATTGTTCTCCCTAATATTTCTATTAATATATGGAGATAGTGATCAAAGCGGAGACGCAGACCCATGTCATTTTGTAACTAAGCATATTGGTATGCATGGACCAGGGTTTGAGTCTCGATCACAGAGAAAAGCAGCATGCTGAGGTATTCAGAGATCCTCACTCTGTACAAACACAAGGAAGTGTTTCACACAGCCTTCATCTGTTCCACTGCCCCAGTTTTCTTAACACACACACTGGGGCACAAAGGGCTCTTTATGCAGCCTGTGTTTCTCAGCATACTGAAGGTTTCCACTGCCATTGCCCTGAGAAACATCCTTTAAGTGCAGGGTTAAAAACATATTATTTATTTTAAAAGCATAAATGAACAGTAGTAGGATGATACTCTAGCACAAATGTAAAAACATCACAAACTTCATAAGGGACATTGGGATACATGCTGACTGAAGCGGCAATGCTGATCTGCTTACAAGAACTAATCAGCTTTAAATGACTTTGACAATGGATTTAGACCCTAATGTTAAACTATAAATATAAACTACAAGCATATGAATGCTTTTTTAATAGTAGCCTATAACAGACATGCATTGTGAAGAATCACAACAGTGATTTAGAGTAGGACCAAATTTGAGGATGAAGTCCAACTCGAATAAAATTCAAGCTCACGCTTTTCTCCATTGCAACCAACATCTTAACACGTTGCATATAACAACATCTTGCACATATTAGCACATAAACATAGGGAAATTATGAAATGTGCAAAAAGTTAAATATTCTTGACCAACTAATCCAGTCGTCATACCTCTCGATGCACACATTGCAACTTTATCAAAAAGTAAACATGCATGTTAAACTGTGAATAATATGTGCCGTAAATAAAAGATGTAAATAACTTACAGAATAGATGTTTACATCTGTGGCAGCCATGCAGATAGGCTACTGACACTGACAGTATGCTCTCAATTATTGCTCTCTCTCTCTCTCTCTCTCTCTCTCTCTCTCTCTCTCTCTTTCCAACATGGGCACTTGATGGAAACACCCCTCGGCTGAATTAAAATGCTGTCCGTGTTGCCCCACGTTAACTCTCTACACTCTACTGCACTTACAAACGCACTTGTTTCAGAAAAGACTTGTTTATTTTTCTCTCAAGTGTCCAATTATCAGTGCTGGTCAAGATACTCCACAGATCCCTATTGCTAGCTAACCTACCAGGAGACAACTAAAATGAAAAACCCATTGGCTTCAAAATGACTTAATTTATTTATGTATTAAATAATTATCTGTATAGTTTAGCAACTTTAGTGTAAGTAAACCACATTAAGTGGACGCAATTTGACGTTCAAACACGTCCAGCAGGTGTCGCCCTTTATCCGTTTTATTTACACCTTACCTACAATGTCAATCAGCCACTAGGAGGAGATATTTGGACACTCAGGATGGAACGTTTAAAAAATAATAAAATTTCAAAACAAAATATTTGATCAAGTGACACCTGCAATATATATATATATAAATATACCGGTATTAGCTTTTCTTAGAACGGACTTGACATACCACAAATAGCTACTTTTAAGGTGATTTTAGAGTACGATTTATAAGTCAGTTTTTTAACATTATTTTTTATAACTTTTAAATGACATTCATACATTTTGAATCGCACCACAGCCAACTGACGGTAAGTGAACTAATAGTATCTGTTCATTAATATTGTTGAAAAACTGCAAGAAAAGACACAGCTCTAAAATCTAATTAGTGTGATAACGTTACACTAAAAGGTGAACTAAATAAGGACAACCTGCAAAAACGATCCATTGCTTTATAATACTCTTTATTTAGGTAATCCACACAGTACAGTGTAGTCTTCACAGTACAATTTCCCAATTCACTGTAAAATAAGAAACATTTTTTAAATATTCATCTTGAAAATCTTACACCCATCTCATTCACTGTAAACAAATTATTGTACGAATCAGAGCAACTTGTTCATTTAAAGAGTAGGCTTGAGTCACACCTGCCACCCCAGAGTATTCCGTTTTGTTCCAAGTATGCAGACGCCTTGAATTAAGTTATTGATGATGGGATCAGGAAATAAACAGTGGTATGCTGTGTTTAATGCACAAGGGAACGTATTAATTTGCATTTCACTTAATATATAATTAATAAAGTCAACAACCTCATAAAGTTAAAAAAGAAGGTGTGCTGTAATTTACTGTCTAAAGTGATTCTCCTGAACAAACCAGCAGTCCTTGAGCAGTTTTATGTCAAATCAGAACAAGAACAAGGACTGTTTTTCACAATTAGAACAAAAACAAATAGTGGTTACCAATATAACCACCAGCATATTCACAGAAATGGCATGTGCTCTTAGTTTGATTTCATTACTGCCAACACTACATTCATGAACTGAACAAATGTAGCACAAAAACAGTCTCACAACAACAATAATCCGAGCGCTCAACACACAGCTATCCATAGGCTGTTACACTCTCTTAGTATGCTACGTATTAAACATTAAACATATTTAAATACCTCAACACATGAAGACTTAGTCAATTTAATGGAAAGTTCACAAAGATTAACATCATTAATTCTAAAAATATATAACATAGCCAAAAGTATATGGACACCCGTACACAATACGCAATTTTTAAACTCCTAATTTCAAAATATGAAACATTAACTGATCCGTTTGCTAATATACCACATTTCACTCATCTAGGAAGGCTTTCTACGAGTGTGTTTGATCCATCGATGGGACAGGGCTCACAGTCGGTGTTACAATTCATCCTAAAGAACAGTGATTTTTGCAGACCAATCAACATAGTTCAAAAAATGGTAAGTCAGTTCTTTATGGATCTTGGGCATAAAGATTAAAATACAGTTCTCTAGAATGTCACTGTATGCAGTTGCATTAAGATTTGGCCTCAGAAATTACTGAAATGGCAAACCTGTTCATTCGAGGAGCTGTCCACAAACTTTTGGCCATGTAGTGTAGATGGAAAATAGGAACAGGATTTATGGAAAGGCAATGGTGCACTTCATAAATGGAAAATTTACACTAGATTTTTTTATATATATAAAATCGCTATATGGATTGTGTCCTTTCTCAAAATTGGTGGGAAAGGATACAGAAAATTAGACTAGTACATTAGCATTCTATTAGTTGTTCTACAAGGTTTCATGTAGATTGTTTTGTGTGAGGACTTTAACATATGTAACAAAATATGGCACATGAGAATTTTTCGAGGGTGAACCAAAGTAAATGGCCATTCATTAAACAGAAAACAGGTGAGGTTTGACAGGATTGTGTAGAAAAACAATGCATTTCCTTGAACTGCTAGAGGAATAGACTTTGGAACAGTCAATGAGAATACGTTGAACTTTAACCTCACACTATTTTCACTTACAAAAAGTTTGTTCATGCACCGTCGACAGGCAGAAGAAATTATATGAACATACGCACTATTCTTGTATAACACCCTAAGAGTGAAACTCAAATACTGAGGATAGTAAAATAGATAAAACTCTTCTTAAAACTCATGCTGTAGTTTATCGGTTTATTAAACCTGCATCTAAGGAAATTTGCAGCAGAGGTTTGTATTTGGCAACGTTTTAAACGGATTGCACTATTGTCATAAAGACGTCCCTTGACTTTTCTTGTAACTGAAATTAAATTAAATTTGGCAGTACTGTATAAACTGCAACCATCATGAAGAGATAAACACGAAATACTGACAACAATGCAATGCAGACTAATAAAAAAAACAAGGTCAACATCTGCCATCTTTGATCCTTACTGAAAATGACATTGAGTGGCACATGGAATAATAAATTTCAATAATCTGGCAGCAAACTGAATTATTTCAGAAATTAAAAAAAAATACTAAATGTATATACAGTAGTGAGTATATACACATGTCAGACAAAAGACCGGCACAAATTGGCAACGACAATAAGGATTTAGCTTAAAAACAATTAAAATGACTGAGTTGGTATGTCCTGGAGAGGAACGGGTGAACTTTGGCACACAAAAGATGTTTAAGATGGTACGTGAAACCATTACAGTAGAGAGGAGATTCACCAACGTTTGTCTTTACAGTCCTTTGTTGAAGTAGACCGTCTCTATTCCAGGATGACTGGCTCGAATCTTCTCCTGCAGTTCTGGTTCCAAGCGGCTCACTGCCATAGAGCTGTATGAACAAATTGGAATTATGAAGTGCAACAGAATGATTTACAAAGCAAAATGAGTCATTCTGAAATGATTCAAAAGATTCCAAAATCATACAGGCATTTAGTTTTGAGAACGTTCTCACCTCTTTTGTGGGAATAACGCACAACACAATGGGGTTGCAAACACAAGGCTAAGAAGAAGAAAGAAAGTACAAAAGAATGGGTCACAAATTCTTGAATGTCTTTCAGAAGATAACAGTTTATTAGACCATAAATCTATCTTTGGCAACTCACCAAAACCCAACCAAGCCAACTTGAATGGGTGCACTCATCCACGGAAACCTCTGAAAAAATAAAGAGGGGGGGGGAATCAACCTGGCAACAAAGCCCATGATTCTATGGGGCCATTGTAAGGGATAGAGCATTCAAGCAGACTGGACACTGTAGACGGGTATGTGTTAAGGCTGAACAATTTTCATTAAGATTTTCAGTCATGTAAACAAAACATTTATAATGCAATTTTGAAATTACCTTGAGGAAGGCCTTCTTTTCCAAAGAGTTCATTAAAAATGGAGGGATTGCTACAGGACGAAAACAATTAGTTATATTTCTTGCTTGCAATTACACTGTCCCATAACCAGATATGCAACATTGCGTCTGCATAAGACAGTGGGGATGAAAGTTTGAGAAAATCGTGAAAAACCTGATATTTTTAATATCATATATTTTATTATATAAAATCCTTAGACTTAATTTCTGGGTTTAAAGGTGCAGTAAGCAATTTTTGAGAAACATATTTGATATTTGAAATCAACCCAAACAAACACACACCCTCCTTTATTGCTCCACCCCCAAAATGCACAAACATGAGTGGAGTGAAGCAAAATAATGCTTCGCGGAAAATAAAGCGAAGATGACGAATGGACAAAAATACAAAAAAAATGTACATACATTTTTATTTTATTTTTACATACAGTAAACAATAGTATATACAAACAAGAGTTGGTTGTTAGTCGCCAGCAGCACAGCAGCTCAAGACAAACAATGACATTGAAAACTGTCCTGTTACTAGCTAATATTTACTACAACAGCATATCTTTGTTCTGTGAAACATAGCAAAACCAATGTTACTCACATATGAAGTAGATACAAAGCAACCTCAGCATCTATTTTCAAGTCTTCCCGTTCTCTAATGTCTCTCCAGCGCTAGCAAACTTTTTCAATATTAACGCAGGGATGTCACGGTACCAAAATTCCATTAGTCGGTACCGATACCATTAAAATTTTACGGTTCTCGGTACCAATTTCGGTACCACAGCAAAACCAGTTTGAACTATTTTTCCAATTTAACTATTTGAAAAAAAAAATTCAATTCAATTCAATGACTTTGTTATTTATGACGGTAAATGTATGAAAGCATTGAAGGCTACATGCTGATTAAACGAAAATATTGATGATATTGAGAAATATTGCTTATAAAAAAAATCAAGTGAAAAATAAGCAACCTTCTATGCACACATTATTATTATTAGTAGTAGTATTTTTAATTAATGGAGACGTAGTTAAATCTATTGTACAGTGGCCTAATATAATTATTTCTGTCAATTTCTTTAAGTTAAACCGAACTTTTATTTTGACGGGTTGCCGTGAAGACCTTTGAGTTTCTGTGCGTGTATGATATGACGATAGTTTTTCTCAAATGAAACGGTAAAATGCTCATGAAGTGACTCTCGGAGATGAATTGAATCATGTCATCATATCGTGAGGCAGCAGAGACTGAAAACAGCGTGAATGTCACTCGTGCTTTAGTGTGTGTGTGTGTGTGTGTGTGTGTGTGTGTGAGGTAACGTTAAATGAAACCGCGCGTTCATTCACACAGAGACAAGCAAAACATGCAGGGAAAATATTTAAATAGTCTTTTTGCAGTGTAATATACACAGACACCACATCAGCAGCGCCGCCGGTCGCCATGTCTCAGCGCTTTCATGAAGCGGACGCAACTTCACACCCTTCGTGCATGTATGCGCATCCAGAACCGGGTTTGACAGGGTACTCGGTACCACCGGTACTTGGTACCGTGACGTTTAAATTTTTTTAGTACCGACTTGGTACCGAAGTACCGAATATTTTGACAACACTACGCAGGATAGGTCCTAAAGCTCTCATCATAACCCTTCTTTTTCCAGTAATATTCCTCTAACCTTTTCTCCTTTGTAATGTCTCTCAGCCATCTCTCTTTCTACAGTCTTTTTTCAAAGCTCCCTCTTGCTCACTCTCTCTCTCCTCCCCTATCATGAGTGTATACTGTATACTGCTGATTGGCTACAAGTGTGTTTTAGTCAGATCTACTTTCAATCCAGAAATCACTAACTGCACCTTTAATGAGCATAGGTGAAAAGTCATCTTAATTAATAAAAGACAATCTCAAGACTTTTAGAGTAAACAAACCCATTCCCGGAGAGGCCATGAGGATTCTGGAAACCACCACTTGTGTAATGGCCTGTTGAGCTGCATTTGAAGATTCTCCTAACCGATTGTCATTCTCATCTGTTACTGGAATGCCATGTTTGAGTTCCCTGAGAAACAAAAGGAAAGATGCGCTCCATATGATATACTCACTTCATGTCTATTATAAATGAACAGCAACACACAATATTACATTACTGTTTTGAACCACTGCTGACGGTTTGGGGTCAGTCGATTTTCTTTTTTTAAGGAAATAATTTTATTCAGCCAGGATGCATTAAATTGATCAATAGTGACAGTAGACAATTTATAATGTTACAAAATATGCATTGAGAATCTTTTTGTGATTACAAAATTCCATGACTACCGAACAACCAATTCAGAGTAAAATCAGGTCAAACCTCTTTATGCAAACGATTTGCTCTAGATAATTATTTACCGTTGTCTCATGAGTGGAATATTGATACAGTTAGCAGCAGCTACAGCAGCGAATGGCACAAAGCGTCCTATGAGTGGGGACACATGCTGAAAGACAGAAAATTAAACATAATTACTAATTATTACATGAACACATAGTGAGCACTGAGCATAATATTTAATACTTTGATGTGAAAGAGTTAAAACTTATTAGTAAGCGATAACCAGTGATCGAAGTGGGGGGAAAAAAGTGGCATTACTCCTGAGGGTTTAAATCGCGTTCTGGAGGCAGGGCGGTCAGAGTACCGGCAACATGTGAGAAGTGCCGGTACACAAGAAAAAGTGAGGGTACGCTACAGGTTTAAATATAGAAGTGCCGGTACTGGTCCACTTCGAGCACTGGCGATGACAGACCATTACCTTTGCTAATGCATTTAGTCCTAAAGCAGTAGCCACGGCCCCTGTGGTGGCTGATACATATGCTGTGCCAAGCTGGCTGCAAGGACATATATTAGGAATTTAGGGATATTGCAAATTAGTTGAAAGAAGAAATGCATAAAGTGAAACAAATATTCATATGCATGATCTAAATCCTCTCACTTTACTGTGATGGGAGCGTCTCCACTCCTGTTGGTGTAATTGACTATTGCATTGAAAGACTGATTGATCCACTGCCAAAACAGAACTGCTGGAGTCGTTCTAAAAGCAAGAGAGAGAGAGAGAGAGTATAAATATTCAGCATTATATGTGGTGAAATGGTTTATTATCCAGAGAAAATCCACCAAGTCTTATAGCTACACTGTAGCCACTATAATAATGGATTATACAGCAAAACCCAGCATGATTTACCTGTAGAACGTCATCATGCATCCAGTGATGGTCATGTTCATAGGAACCTGAGCAGACATGCGACCAATCAGGAGCATTTTCTCGCCTGTGTCTGGATGGAATGCCGAGTCAAAAACATACTTCGCCCTCCATAGCTCATCTTCTGTGAGACCCGGTGATACCACCCCTTTTCTTCAGGGATAAGAGAATGGAAAATGATGGCGCACTTGGTATCTGGCAAACTCAGCATATGTAACAATGAATCCTATACAAAAGCACATGCTGTAAATAAATGCAGAGTAGAGACTTACTTGTAATCCTGAATAATCTGACGTGCATTTTCTAATTGTTCATTCGACAGGAGGATGTTTCTAGGGTCTGTGACAGTGAAGAAATGCTTTGCGCGACCCACAAATGTTCCCTGATCCCAGCGTGGCTCTTTAATGTTTATGGAGGTGGAGAGCACGGCTGCCATGGTACACTGTGAACATATTACACTGTTAAAACCTTGGATAGACTTCACTTAATCTTTTAACACACAACAGTGTAAATGTCTTTGAAAACAAGTTATTTTTAAAACATTATGGTGGTACCATGACTGGTATAGCAAGAAGCCGAAGAAAGATTCTTAAAAAAACTACTTCTGTTCTGTTCCACAGAAGAATTACAACATGCAGGTTTGGAATAATGGCGAGTACACTAACGTTCAAACGTTCAACGATTTTTTTAAATGTTTTTGAAAGAAGTCTCAAAGGCTGCATTTATTTGCTCAAAAATACAGTAAGAACGTTAATATGGTCAAATGGTATTACCATTTAAAAGTAAAACAGCTATTTTCTATTTTAATATATTTTAAAATCTAATTTATTAATTGTAATTTATTCCTGTGATGGCAAAACTGAATTTTCAGCATCATTACTCCAGTCTTCAGTGTCACATGATCCTTCAGAAATCATTTTGCTTTGGTGCTCAAGAAACATTTCTTGTTATCAATGTTGAAACCAGTTGTGCTGCTTAATATTTTTGTGGACACTGTGATACTTTATTCTAGTATTCTTTGATAAATGGAAAGATCAAAAGAACAGCATTAATTTGAAATGGTAATCACTTATAACACTATAAATGTTTTTACCTTTTAATCAATTTTATGCATCCTTGCTGAATAAAAGTATTGATTTCTCCCAAAATAATAATAATAATAATTACTTGCCCCCAGACTTTTGATAGAAAATGTAAAAAGAGAATTTTAATTTCTTGGTGAACAGTAAGTTTTTATTTCTTATATGGAGAAAACACTGTACGTTTTTCCAGCAAGAAAAAAAAAAAACCTGAATAATGCTTGCACATGACATTCCTCCCCCTGATTAGGCTACCGCTGAATCAGCATGTAGTTTCTAAAGACACAGCGGACCAGCCAAGCAAAGAAAGGCTGGAACATCAGTCACTCTGAAAATTACATTTGGTTCTGCTAGTCCCCATGTAAAGCAGCACCTATGTGTATATATGGCCTGTGTTTCTATAAACAATTCTAAAAAGTATAAGATTAGACATTTAGTCACAGGAGAGGGGGTTGATGAATTTAAAAGGGGAGTGCACTCAAAAAAATCTTTCACAATTTAGCTCTCTATGACTTTCTTATGTGGAAGATAAATAAAATAACAGCAGACTGTGAAGAACTGACAGTCTCAGTCATCCTTCACTTTCATTGCATCATTTTCCATACAATGAAAGTGAAGATTACTGTACTGCAAGACTTTTTGTTTTGTACTGAAGAAAGAAAGCTATAAGGGTTTTAAATTATACGAGGGTAGTATTTTGGGGGGGATTTTACTGTCCTTGCGATTGTTAACTTAAACAGGCATAAACAAGATTTAACCATTTATTTGCATGAGCATATTCCAAGAATAGGCATTCACAAAGGCCAAATTAAATCAATTAAATAAACCACACGCTCTAAATGTACAGCGTGGTGAAATTTTATTTTGAAAATAGAGTGTTTTGAAGACACCAAAGACAGATAAAGGGAGGACAATAAATCACGCGTTTCACTTAAACACGGCTACAAAAGTGGGTCTGTGTCTCTTTAAATCAAATAGTGGTTCAAGTGTTTTGCACGAGATCACTTGAGTCTGCTCGAGCCTGATGTTTTGGTTTGCGCTGCTTCCCTTTTAAAACGCGTTTTTCACTAGTGAAAGAAAGTCTGACTCATTTTCGCTAATCGGTTCTTTTGAACAGTTCGTTTCAAAGAACCAGTTCAAAACATTTCAGGGATTCAGCGATACGCCATCACGTGGTCACTGACATCAGGTTCAGAAACGTTTGGTTTGTAGCCAACTAGGCATACATAGCTTTTTTAATTACTTTTTTTTTTTTTTTTAAATAATGATGTGGTTTAAAATTTCAAGCAATTTAGAAAACCAACTCAATTTCATATGCGTACTACTGATCAAAACAATTCTCTTAAATTGTAAACATTTTATTTGTAATATTTCTGCTTTTGCCAATGAAGTAAGTTACTTTCTGCTCCGCTTGTCTACGCGAATGCTCATTCTGTCGTTTTACGTCTCATTACAAATTAAAAGGGACGATTCTCGTTGATTCGGACTGAATCGTAAACGAATCGTTCAGTCAATTTCGTGAACAAATTGTTCTGACTGCTTGTGCAACCGATTCATTAAGTAAAGATCCGACTCAAAAGAACAATTCATTCACGAATCGGACATCGCTGCAAAGCAAAAATTCATATCGTGCTTTCCAAACATGAAAACATTTAGTCCACACTATGGATTGGACAGATAAGATACTGACCGATACACGGGCCTCTTGATCCGAAATGAACTTTGAACAGAGACGTTTATGACACTTTCCCTAAACAACCCATTTGTTGCCCAATAGTGTGCTTTCATGACTGTATTATTACTGTGTATTATTTCAACAATCTAGAAATAATATGCATTCACTCATCTTAATGCTTTATTTGATGTGTTAAAACATTGATGCTCTTTAAAGAGCAAAACATGGGATAAATGGAATGATTTAAATTGTGTCTTGTTTTGAAATCAATTGTTAGAATATCATCATTGTAGCCCATTGGCAAAGAATGGTTCAAAACCAGTCGGTACCGGTTGGGTGGCTTCCATTGGGGCTTTCAATATGTCCTAAATATGAATTATAATATGTTTAAATATTATGGTAAAATAAATATTGGAGGGTTGCTCCATATGATAAATATCTTAATACGTTTTAGTTTTATCTTTAAAACCATCTGTACAACTCCAGCTGTGCACCTCTTTATCAACCTCTGGATGCCACATCACAAATCCCCTTACTGGCAGCATAAGGTTTTACATTCTAATGCATCCAGTAAAAAAAAAAAGAAGAAGAAGAAATATATCTTGAAAATGACATCCGTGGAAAAAAATGCGAAAGGTCCTGTTACTTACAGTGCAAAGCCCGCCGTCAGACAAAATCACACCACGAGCTCTCCGCTGCAGATATCAGTCTCGCGCACCGAGGCTAATTTGGTATTTACGAATGAATGTGAAGTACGCTGCAGTAAAAGCACCACCCACCAGCGGCGCTGCTGATATTTCAAAATAAAAGTTTCAAATATCTTGGGAAATATTTGTAACATGAGATTCTTACATTTATGTCGTGATCCAAGACATTGGTAAAAAAAAATAAACAGTGAGCAACGGAATTTTAGTTTCTTACGTTTACCGAGTTAAATACAATACATTAGTCAGTCGACGTAAGGACGTTTACTATGAAATCTAATGATATAAAATATTTTGATTATGAAATGTAATATCTTCAAACACGCAATATTAGGTCTAATAAGCCTTGGGCAAGTAATTTTTTATTTCATTAATTTTTAACTGTTGGTTGTCTGTCTAAAACTAAAACGTAAATCATTCATCTTTTTATGAATGTTGTATTCACCAAAATAACGGGCTATTTGCACTTAGTTTAAATCTGTGTAAATAGACACTCATACCGAAGTAAATGCACTAAGTTAACTACCATTTGACATTTCTTAACTCAATTTACAAGTAACGTTACATTTCTATGTAATACAGAATGATGACAATTAATTAACACTTTAACCTAGTGTCAATTTATGGATCGATTCTCTGCAGAAAGAGACGAATTTAATTCCTTTCAAAAAATATTTTCGAAATGCCATTAACTTGGAGCCATGTAAAGCTTTTTAGCTAAGCAAAACCCGTCTAATGACAATAATTAACAAGAGTTAGATTTAAGAAAATAGCTCCATCTAGCGGATATTAAACACCAACCAAGTCATTCCTGTTATGTATTGCATTGTCATGTCGGCATGTCTGGAATGTTAAGTATTAAACTCACACATTTTTAACATGTAAATATTGCTTTTTAATCGAAATTAAGTGAACATAGGTGTGAATTTTAAATAAAAAATATTTTTAATAAATATTTTTTTGAGATATTTTTCGTTTGAAAGTTAAACGGCACTAGATTATATTAAGTCTTCCTTTAAAATGTTCTATCCTATAAAATAAAATTATTGAAAATGGCATGCTATTAAATTTCAAAAATATTCCACCGTAATGTTAGCAAACTCTCACTTAGTAATGGTTAACTTTAGCACTTTATTCCCTTCCCATTAGGTCCCATCTTATTCATTTATTGTTACCTGAGCTTGGCCAGAGCATTATTTGAAAGTCTGCTGTATTGTATTATAACCTTCCTTAAATTCCAATACATTTAAAAAAAGAAAGAAAAATAAATTATAGTTACAGTGCTCAACTGTACTGCATAACAGGAATGACCTAACAATTAAAATCAATCAGCAACACTGATAACATTTTGCAGTATCCTACAACAGAGGACAAACATTACAGCTGTTTTCTAAAAAGAAACAGACTTAACATAGATAAATAGCATGAGTTTTTATTGCTGTTCAAATCCCTATTTAATTGTGCTCTGATTAAATTACAAAGTATTGGGAAATAATGCAGTAACATACAAAAGCAGAAACAAACAAAACTACTGCTCTGTAAACTAAGTACAATAACAAATACTGTATTGAAAAAGTGCTTAGAGGACATTGAAAAGAGACTAAACCTAAAGTGTTTCATACCAACCTGCAACAAACATTGCAGTAGGCAATCAGTTAAAACAGCAATCGGACATTTGCCAGATGACAGCTCATTGTGAACCCGAGGCCATGCAGCATGAAAATGCAGCTATAATACACAGCACTATTTTAAGCTCATCACAACGTGTACATTATCCAGTCATAAGCATTTAGTGTGTAAATTCAAATATTGTTATTCCAAAACACAGCGCTTCAGAAGAATGCACAAAAACCCCTTAGTCTGATGAAACCCTTACATCCTGATCAAAAACACAACTGTTTTTAGTACAGAAGAGAGAAAAGTACATGATGGAGATGAGAGAGTACTGTTGCATTTTGTGTGTTTGTTGAGATTACTGCATTTAGCTTGTTGCTGTACTAGATATGGCACGTTTTGGTCCAAGGACAGGGGTTTGTGTTAGAAAATTTTAACAGATGAGCATGTCTTCTATGAATAATCATTGTCCACTGGTAGTATGATAGTCCACTGATAGTGCTGCAATACTGTAATTTAAAAAAAGCCTTCCCATTTTACAGAAAATAATCTGGAGTGCGACGAGTGACATGAGGCTCTCCTCTACGTGGTGCCGGGTCAAACTGTAAACTAAAGGAAATCATTCTGTTAATATAAATGTTTATAATTGTAAAATCATCAATAAAAAAAATATGCTTTGTTTGTCATATACATACAAGGAGTACTTCAGCGTGTCATCAAGTTCCATGATCGCAGCCTGGTTACCACATCGGTAGCAATAATTGGGTGCGCTGAAGATCGTTACCACATTACGTTCATGACACCAGTTATAACCCTGTGAAAATGTTTTTAAAAAATATATTAGCCTGTAGCTTATCAACAAATAGTAGGTCTATTATTATCCATGTGCTACAAATTCAAAAAATGTAATAACTTTGTCCCAGGGTTATTATAGTTAACTTAAACCAAAACCATAAAAAAATATGTCGTTAACTGAAATAAAATTAAATATATATATATATATATATATATATATATATATATATATATATATATATATATATATATATATATATATATAAACGTATTTTATTTCAGATAACTGCCAAGCCAATATTTCTTACTTTCATTTAGTTTAACTTAATGAACTAAAATAACTACAATTAAAACTGAAATAAAAATGTCAATAAATGACAATAAAAATGTCAAAAACATACAACAAAATTACTAACATTTTAACTAAAAATAATTCAATTGTATAATAATTAAACTGGAAAATCTAAAAATAAAAACTATAATAGTATGTCTATATAGTTCATGTAGTATCTCTATATAATATAATAATGCTGCTTTCTGTCTTTCTCTCTCTCTCTCTCTATCTCTCTCTCTATATATATATATATATGATGGTGAGACCAGATCTCCGTGCGGAGCAGTCGGACTCTTTACGCATACAAAAATCTCACTGGATTATTGCAATTAATGGCAAAATGAATGTTTGGAAATGTAAACTGAAATTTCCCACTTACACACTAAAGCAAAATATATAAATAACTGGTTTAAAACCCCTTGCCTAAGACTTTTGCACAGTACTGTACACAGACAAATATTAGATTGTATTGTAATGTTTATGTATTTCTCTTATATAAACAATACATAAACATTGGTAATCAACCTCTCTTTTACCTCCATCACTAACTGGTGGGCTCTTGAGACCAGAGTCAAGCAGTTGGCATGGTTAAATGTTTCCGAGATGTCCTGGCCAAACGTGTACCCAGCCCCCCTGGGGGAAATCCCCCAACCTCCACGGTCATCTGGATCGGACCACAGCAAATCACACATGGGACCCTGCCAACAAGATTTCATAAGCTTCTGTGAGTAGTATTCACAGCTGGGACTCTTAATAATGTTGAATATGAAAGAAACACTATACATCTTTCTGATATTCACAGGTGGAATTTATACCTCATGGGGAACTTCTTGGATCCGGTCCAATGCGCGAATGTGATCCAGTGTGTCAATTGAAGGTGACAATCCTCCATGGAGACAGAAAATCTGTGCAAACAGAGTTAGGTTTAAGCTTTATGCGCACTCAAATTACTGTGCAAACAGCTTTTTGTTTTGATGTAAATGTCATAAGACAATTACAATGGATGAAATACTGTAACTGTTAATCACTAACCAATTTACCTGTGTGTCCACGAGGGCTGTAAGAGGAAGGTAGTCAAAAAGGTCTGTGAAATATTTCCAAACATTTGCATTTCCATATTTTCTCAGGCACTCGTCATAAAAGCCATAAACTTGTGTGATTTGTCTGCTTTCATGGTTTCCGCGGAGGATGGTGATTCTCTCTCGATATCGAACCTGCAGGATTTACAGTTACAAAAACAAGCCATTAACACAATGCAAATTCACATTTTCTTGTATTAGTAACTTCAGATCAATGTTAAAGCTGTGTCTATTCACATACCTTTAAAGACACCAGCAGTGAGACTGTCTCGACTGAATAGTAACCTCTATCCACGTAGTCTCCCATAAATAGATAATTAGTATCTGGTGATTTACCCCCAATCTTAAAGAGTTCCATAAGATCGTGAAATTGGCCATGTACATCTCCGCATACTGTGACAGGGCAACGCACTTCCTGGACGTTTGACTCTTTAGATAAAATTTCTTTAGCCTGCAATAGATAAAACAAGCAGCTTAGACAACAAGAAATGGTTTCAACTATTAACCTAAAGTACATTTAAAATTTCTAACAAACTGTGGGAGGCAATGTAGACACGGATCAGTGATTATATTATATTATTAATAATGGCATGTGTTATTGGAAATAAATTAAGAGGGACTAGTAAATACACTAAACAATGTTTGTCTAGCAGCCTTAAAATGTGCAGTGACACTTTATTTTAAGGTGTCTGTGTTACAGTGTAATTATATATTTAAGTACTTAATATTCATAATTAATTACATGTACTTACTAAAGGGTTAGAGTTAAGATTGGGGTTTGGTTTAGGGTTAGTTGCTTGTAATTATGCATATATTATAGTTAATAGTACAGTCACTATTATGTAATGTGTAACAAGGTAACAATGTGTAAAATAAAGAGTTACCAAATGTGCTTTAAGTAGTATTTAAATTAATTTGTAATTATAATAACTGATATCGTTATTCATTTATTTTAACATGAAAATATAGATTTTATTTCCAGAATACAAACTATGGCAGATCTCCCTTTGTGCTTCACAGAAAAAAAAAATCATGCAGGTTTGGAACATTGTGTGGGTGAGTACTTGACGACAGAATTTCATTTTTAGGTCAACTATTTAAGGAAACAAGTGTGCATTTTCATTTTTTTTACATTGTGGGGGGAAAACTTATAGCAGAACATAAAAAATGGTTTAACAGAATAAGGACATACTGATTAATGCATGTGGACTAATGAAATAAAGGGCAATTATAATATTGCTAAGCAACAAGAATATGGCTTTGTTTTCAACACATTAAAACAACATAAGTTACATACAACACAAAATTAGTTTTTTTTGTTGTTTTTTTTGTTTCCCCCACTGAGGTATCTGAACCTTTACCGTCCCTCCCATGTTGGCTTAGAAAGCAAAGACAAACCCCAAACTCTGCCTGACAACGAATAACAAAAGTGGGCATAACCTGAAGAGCTCTGGTTGCTAACTGCGCTGCACAGCCGACAACCAATAGTCACATTCATGGCGCACAGACGGCCAATAATAGAATAATTCGGCACCGCCATCTTCGGATTGCCAGTGGGAAGGGCGCACTGCAACTGTATCTGAGCCGCCGATAACAAATTTAGATAGTCTGCTACTGCACCCACGGGCCGCCTGTCATAACACGTGTTTTAACCAACCTTAACATACAATGCAACACTGACACAGGTGACGATGATCGTCACTCACCTTCTCGCATAAAATTTTCACTTGGTTTTCCGATAGTTGTTTGCACTCGTTCAGTTGCTCGATCCATTGGTCCAGTTCTTTCGTGAATACCTTCTCGTCCATTCTCGACACTTCCTTAAAGCATGCAAGTAATGTTAAAAAATAAGGTGAAACGAGTCAAAATGCTTTATATGGGTTTGGCGTCATGCGTCAAAGTAATCAATCCCAGTTTAAAATGAAGCTGTCGACCCCTTGATTACTTGCAAATGGCCTGAAACTTTTACTCCCTCAAGAATAAAACGATGATTGCAACTCTTTGTAAGCAGCAAACGATTAAAACTACAGCCTGAAAGCTCCTTTGAATTCTGTCAGACTCTGGTTATGATGCGCAGCAGCGACGAAGAATCCGCTCATGTAGCTTGACGTCACCTAATCCGCATTCAAAATGACGAATCCTACTACCGCGAAGGCTTGATTCTTAATATTAAGCAGTCAAGCCTGTTCCATTGGTAGATTACGATGCCGCATCTTTATGACCTAATTCATATTTATAAATTAGGCGTTCGCGATAGGAAGGCTATCAATGAACGTCAGCCTGACCTTATTAATATTGACCAGGTCAGTTTTCGCCATAGTAGCATTTGTCGCAGATCTATTGTTTTGTCTCTTGTGCGTTTAGTGCCGCCAACTGATGTACAAGGGGAATGACAGTAATTTGATAACTGGTTTGTCTGGTTTAAATAATCATAATAATGTATTATTATTATTATTATGCTAGTTGCTGGAAATTGAAGGATCTTTCTTTAATTTATAACAATAATAATAATGTTATGCTCTGTTGCTGGAAAGTGAAGCAGCTATTATAGTTTTTCTTAAACATTCTTTATTTACACTTTATTATTCATATACTGATTTAATGATATCCTATCATTAAATTATTTTAATGATATCCATATAATTAATGTGGTTATGTTAAAATATATATATTTTCTCATATATCTATGTTTTATTTCTGTGACGGCGAACTGACTGCGCTTTCTTCTCTGTAAGCTCTCGCAATAAATGAGCTTTTCATTAAACACAAATCTGACTTAAATTAATCGAAATAATAATTTTTAAAAGATCCACAACAAAACACATAAGACAATGTGCATGGTGATATTTTCAAATGTCAGCACCAAATAAATGTATATAAATGAATAAATATCGAGGACAAAAGTGGCGCGTGAGCTGACACCAGGGCCTTCTGGTATTTGCTGAAGAACAGTAAAAAATTCCCATCAGCAGCTGACGCATGCGTATAAGCTATTCATACTATTTTATTATTTTTTCTAGTGAAAATGGCTGCCTTTCAGCTTTAAACCTCAGCGGTTCAGGGAAAAAAATATCCATCCCTTAAACCAGAATCTGCACGATCGTTCGGAAAGAAGCATCTTGCGCTTCAAGAATGTGCATATTACTGCGTTAATAAAATGATACTTTTGCTTTCAAGAATGGAAGATAGATCTGTTTCATGTTTAACCCATTACATTCCGTGATCCGCGTTCCAGATGAGGTAAAGTACTTTCTTCATTGCATTATTTAACGCAAAATTGCATCTAATTTATATTACATTTCATTTTATTTTATTTACAGCAATTGAAAGACTATTATATATTAACAACCGAATAGCGCCGGGAAAAAAAAGATACCAAACGTGCAGAATGACAGGACAACGATGGACTTGCATAAGAGATATTCTGCGGTCCCTGGCTTTTTGTGATAAAACATTGTGTTTGCTTATCCAGCTGTACATTGTGACATACTTATAGTTTGACTATTTCCATAGTTCGACTCTCTCTGCATAACTTTCCATGGTTAATTGAACAGGCCTGTTGTTTTCTTTTTGATTGACGTCGTCAATCACTCAGTTGCGATGCGCGCGCTCGTTGTAAGATGTTTGGAAAGTATAAATTGCAATACTTCTATATTCGGTTGCTATTTTACAATACAAATAAACATTTTACTAACCACTGTATCTTTTTCCAATCTAACGTTTTAAAATATTTTATTTGAACAGAAAATGATGCACCAAGTAGCCAGCAACAGCAACGACTATGGTCTGGGTAGCATTGGGGATGATGGGCAACACCCAGCCAGTCATTTTGAGTTGTGCAGTTCACAGTCCAACAAATTTTACCCCACTGTCCCACCTCCCTCGCTACAACTGCCACTCCCAAACTTGCCCCCCTTGCCACAGAGCATGATCAAGCCCATGTCTTGCCAGATGCAAGACTCCCAGAATGAATTTCACTCCCAAACCGTTCGAATGAGGGGTGCAGATGCTCCAGAGAGCTCTAAGAAAAAGAAGGGCCTTGGGAAGTCCGGACGACGAGGCAGGCCCTCGGGTACCACTAAGTCTGCAGGCTACAGGACAAGTACGGGACGACCGCCTGGGACCACCAGAGCAGCAGGTTTTAAAACCAGCCCAGGAAGGCCACTGGGCACTACCAAAGCGGCAGGCTACAAGGTGAGCCCAGGTAGGCCTCCAGGCAGCATCAAAACACTATCAAGGCTTAATAAACTGGACTATGGCGCCTGCAATGGTGCACCGTTCCCTTACACCATGATGCAGAAGAGGGCCTTGTGCGAAGCCGCTGTGAAAGAGAAAGACACTACAGAGTGAAAACCGTTTTTTATTTATTGCAAGGAGGGACTAGGGATGTGGGTGCATGTCCAAAGTCACAGTGAATTGTGTTTGCAATGTCAAACTCTTGCAAGGAACAAAAAAAGAAGAAAAAAAAAGATGGATTTTGATACCTAAACTCATGTGTATGTGCAGTGTTATCCTTTTGTGTATCTTTTTCCAAAGACCATTAGCATTACCTTTCTCGCTAGACGTACGTTATCCTATTGTACAGATGTGCATGACGGTAGTATTGTGAAATAAAGTTACAGTATTGCACACATATTAATCTTTTTGGTCCTTAGACTTTGCTCAAGTGAAATGTAGAGGAACTTCAATTGTGTTGTTTTACATTTAACTTTACCTTTTCCATAAAGGTTTTGATGTAAAGGTACAGTCTTCATCACACCTGGTTTGTTTCACTCTAGATTTTAGGACATGCATAGCATTTGACTTGAAAAATCTGATCAGCAGTAATAATTCCTCTGTTCCCCTGATGTGTATGTGAAAGTGCTCTGTTTGTAATGTCTAACAATATGTTTATCTTTTTTGTTGTTGTTGTTGTTGTATTTATGAACTGTCTGGTGCCCTTTTAAGACAGAGGATGATGTGGCTTTTTGATAAAAAGTCAAATGACAGATTTCAGCAATGGCATAACCTTTACACGTGCTCTTGTAAATATAACTGTGAGTTTATATCAGCCAGTGTCCACTGTTCCACCCAAAATTGTTTTGCTGATTATTAATCCAATTTAAAATACCATGTTAATGTTGTTGTTTTTTTAATCACTGGGATAAAACAAGTCTCAGTTTTGTGTAATTGAATACACCTGATCTGATAAAAATAAACAATTATCACTCCAAAAATATAAATTGTGTGGAAAAACTGCTGAACAAAAAAAGATGATTTACAAAATTTTTAAATACCAATTGAGTTGGTATTAAAATTTCTCTTTTATGATGTGACTCTAGTATTAATGTATGACTAACTGTTTCAATAATAAAATATATGTAGACAATTTTTTTTAAAATTGCATTGGCTGGATAGGAAACTATTCAAAAAATATTCTAAGACAAAACACATAACTACTGCCTAAAACGTTAATCAATCATGTTTTTACATTCTTGTTCAATTTACTAAAATTTTATGGAAACAGCAGCCAAATTATGGGTTCTCTCCTACTGTCTTTGTTCTGGTTTTAAATCAGTGTCTTTACAAACACTGACTGCGGATAAGCTATAACGACCAAATTCTGAAAAAGGGAAAGTTGACAAATTAGTAGGCTATAGTTTTTTTAGTGGAAATATATTGCCACTTCTATTTCTACCGTATTTCGTACGGTAATAGGTCTAAAAATGAGTTGGATTTTATCTCATGACACAATAGAGGTTGACTGATGTCTGTGGCAAGCCATTTTAACATTATTCCCTTAATCTAACTGCCATCGGTTTCTATGTTAGTAGTACACAGTAGCGTTTTTTAATTACAATTGACTAATCCAGTAACGATTAATAGGCTATAGTTTTTTATTTGATCTTTTTATTTATCATTTTTAATTTATTTTAATTTGAATGAGATATTATTTATTCACTGGATACCAACATTTATTTATTTGCTACTATTCTAATACTGACAACTATTCTATTGTTACAGAAATTAATTAGGCTACAATTTGTTTTGCCATTGAATGCTGTGGGGACAATTCACTAGTATGCTTTGCAGTTTCCCTATCTAATTCAGGTTTATTAGTATTTAAAAATAGGATATTAGTAGCCTACCTATGAGACACCATTTTCTATAGAAGTAATATTTCTTATCTAACTATTTACTTGCCATATGTCAGCCCAGCTAATTTATAGTAATTAAAAATATTACTAGTAATAATGCATACAGTTGGAACATAGACTAATAACTAGGCATATAACAGTACAAATAAGTAATAACATTAAAAGGTCGTAATGCTGCCTTCACGCTCTATCGGAATTATTATAAGTAGTTTAAAAAAATTGCACATGAATATGAATGGCTAAATTCAAAATTCGGATGTGATGAGCTCTAATCATGACTTCAGAAGTGGGAAGTAAGAGATTTCCGCTAGCTCGTGAAGGCAACAATAGTTACTAGTAGAAAGGTACCCTTAAATGTTAATCCCGCTTGCCATAACTGTCTGACATATTACACTTATGCGTGGCATGGCCTAATTTCCAACCACCCACAAAATGCGCAAAGAAAACTTAGAAAATTAAGCATGCTGGAGCTTGTGTATTTTAATCGAGACCAATAAATAGTGTTTTCTCCTCACATGACTTCGTGTGCTCGGCTACCTTGCAAAGCACGGACCGTCTCTCTAAAATGGAGGAAGTTACGCCTTTGTTAGCACAAGGAAACAAATGGCGTGAGGGTTAAAAAGCAAATGTTCACTGTTGTATCGTTCCATGCACCCATCAAGCACCGCGTCGACTATGACTGTATGCATGACGCGTTTTGGACAAAGTTAAACTTGCGTTTGCTTGCACATTGTCCACATGCATTTAAACATCGTGTGAGAGAGATGTACCTGGGAAATAGTGAATCGGGTTAAGTGGATGTGAATGTATACTGACTGGGGGTTGGGTGTGCTGTGCCGATTGGTCGCTCTCACCAGCACACACACACATACAGGCAGTCAGTCAGGGCTTGTTTTAACACACACACACACACACACACATACAACCAGGGGCACTCGGCAAGCGAGGCAAACAATCATGTATTTCAATAGAAATCGTGGCCGCTGAGAAACGTGCTTTCGATGTATTGACGTGGTGCTTCGGGGGAAAGTGACAGGCGCTCAGTTTCAGTCTCGTTTATTTATTCATCTCCATTTTTGATGTTGGAGAGAAATGAGTGCCGAGGCCGGGCCTACTGGTGCAAATGCTGCTGGGATTTTGCAGATCCGCTTTCACAAATTGACCAAAAGTAACGCTACATGCTCGAATTTGAAGGGCTTTCCAGTGATTTTGTCGTGACCGAGTCGTAAATGGTAAGAAACCGGCGATTTCTCTCCTGTACCTTCTGTATTTGTTGCGTTTTTTTATCTTACCGTCGTGGGTGACTTTACTGCTGTACGACTGTATGGGAACTGTTGATGCACATGATGATAATGTAACATACATACTTTACCAGCGTTTTCACACTGAAATCGCGGCAGAGGTCATCTTTAAACAGTCCAGTATGGGCATATCAAAGTGTCTTCGACATAGCGATTCATGTTGAGTTTTTCAAGCATTCTTATCTTTGTCTTGATGGATTCTTGACAAGACGGCCTACGAGGGTTGCGGCTTAAACCCGAGTACCCTGTTACAAAATCCACTTTAAGATGCTAGCTGTGATGATACACTTTAACATGATAGCTGGTTTCTATCCGGTGTAAGATTGTCAGTAGCAGGTCGACCGGCTACCATGCTCCAATAAACCATCTTGACCACCTTAAACTGGCATCTGGTTTATTGCTGGTCTGAGGTGGTCTTCCAACTCGCTCCAGCTAACAGCTTCAGCTGTATTTTCAGCAGGAATTTGCATGCTGGTGTTTTGCAATATTACAGTATTAGAGTTTTTGCTTTTAAGAAATGTCATTAATGTGAAATCATCTTTGGTGCTTAATTGTTTTGAAACATTTGTTTTAATGCACAACTCAATAGTGTTCTGCGGCCAGTTGCGACAAACCCCTTAGAAGTTCAGAAAACCCTGAGTTATAATTCTACGGGTTTTTTATTATACATCTCCTGTTTATTTTGTTACAGGATGGAGCCATGACAACATGAATCAGTCCTACAAAGTGGCTGGCAGGGATGGCTCGGAGTGTCGTGGCAATCCACAGGAGTCCAAGGCACTTGATAGCCGCTCCTGTGGACACCAGAGCACAAAGCGACAGGGGGACCAGGGGTCTGCCATGCATTTCTTGAACTCTGGCTACAAGCTCTCCGCATCACCGTTCGCGTACAATCAGAGAGAATCCACCTCCAACTACAGCCCGCTGAGGAAACTTCAGGACCTGACCACTATGGTGAACCATGCGGACATGAGTTTGCAGGACAAGGATTTTCACGGGCGAAATAAATTGCTCATGCACAATCCCATCGGTGCCAGTGAGTTCGGAATAGGCCTTTATCACACGTCCAATTCGCAAGGAAACACTGACAGGACTACTATTCAGGATCTGGACAAAAATGGTTTCTCACCAGTAAGCTCTGATAGCTTGGAACACTTTCCATCCATCCCAAATGGATTTTTGCATTTTGAGTCAACACTGTTTGACAGTGGGGACAGCAAGGATAATGACGAGGATGTGGATGTTGGGGGAGAAGCAGTGGCAAAGTTTAAAGACGCGTCAAAGAAATGCCAGAAACGAAATCTGGCAAATACAAAGTCTCAAAGTAGCCACAGGCTAGACCTAAGTACAAACAAACATGGAAGTTGTAACCTTGTTGCTAAAAATACAGTGAAGTCTGACCCTCCTGCTAGTCCATCGCATTTGCCTGTTGAGGTCATGATGGAGGATTTTGATAGTATGGATGATTATTCAGACAGTGACTGTGATCTACCCAGCACTGGGAACAGCGCTTCAATATTTAACTCTGGTCTCTCTAAAAGAGCAAATTCACCTAGTGACTCCCATTCAAATCCTGTAAGATGTTTTTATATTCAGCTGACTTGGTTTGTTGTCTTGATTGTGGTTTTGCCCTAACAGGTGTACAACAGCGATATTTTGTTAAAGAGTTTCCACTTAAGATTATGCTGCTGTTTAGTAAAAGGAAATCCATTTATAAATATATGCACCAAAGGGATGCACCAGAATGAAAATCCTGGGCCAAAACCGAAAATTCAGGATGCAACCGAAGCCGAAAATAATGAATCAATTAATTAATCAAAGTTATTTAACAGTCAACGTTCAAATAGCTAAAACTCAGTTGTAAAAACATTTAAATTGCACACAAGGCAGTTTTTATATCAAATAACAGAATTACTTCTCAGGTTCTTGGTGAAATATAAACATTTAAATGGCAGTAAACTGTAATAACTTGTTTTCATGACTGATTTATTCCAACATATATTAAATAATGAAGACATCACTAGTAAAAATAAAATGAACATGTAGTGCAGATATTTAGCAAAATGCTCTTCTCTACATTTACGAGTTTGTGGACATTGAATAGCTGAAATTTCGGTGCACCCCTAAAATGTATGCAGTGTGTATTTATACATATTCATGCACACATAGTGGGATCCAAAGGTCTGAAACCACACTAAAAATGTGTTTCAAAATTATATTTAAACCTTGAAATAAACATTAAATTCAAAGAAATGTTATGACACTTTTTAAGATCATCTCAAATCATGCTGAAGAACATGATCTTGATCATCAGGTTTTACACAAATGTTTGGGGCACCTTGAGTGCTGCTGTTACTAAACCAAAATAAAGTTAGTTTATAATTGACAAAAAAAAATAATTGTATGCAATCAGAAAAATGCTGAATAGAAACAATTCCACTGGTAGTTTTGGACCCCACTGTATGCATTACTTATTTAAATTGCATTAAACTTAATTTGCACACTATTGACACAAATATTTCAGAAAACCCAATGTGCAGTATAACAAATCTCAATAAATTTTTAAACCGACACCAGTCAGAAAAACTTCTGTCAATTAACTGCAGTAACAGGCTAATGCAGATAATTAAAAAAAATTAATTTTCCAATTTGTTAGTCTATCATTAAAATGTTTAAAAGTGTTGACAATGGCTTTATCCAACATTGCTTTGCCACTGCAAAATTGTCTGAACCAATAGTGTGAATATTTGACCAGTAGCACACAGTGGGAGTGTGTAGGTCACT